GGGTTGAGGGGTTTAGGGGTTGAGGGATTTAGGGTTTAGGGTTTAGGGGTTTAGGGGTTTAGGGGTTTAGGGGTTTAGGGTTTAGGGGTTTAGGGGTGTAGGGTTTAGGGTTTCCGACATGCAATAACAAGGAGCCCCCGAAGTGCCGTCAAAACCTTAAAAACATTAACAACCCTAAAAACCCTAAAAAAAACCGTTAACCCTATAAACTGCCTGACTTACGACCAAGGATACCAGGAACAGGCCTGGGCAATGGCTGCCTCCACTACGGGGATACCAACCTGACACCGATCTGACGGCCGCAGGGCTTTAGGCTCAAGGGTTTAGGGTTATTTCGGGTTTGAAGTTTAGGGTTTAGGGTCCAAGGGGTTGGTTTCTTTAGTGTTTAGGGTTTAGGGCTTAGGGTTCAGGAATTTAGGCCCAAGAGCTGTGGGGGTAGCATACCAACCTGGCACTGGTTTCACTGAACAGTGGTCTGTGTTTTGTATTCCAGGGTAGCACTTGCCCTGAGCACCACCAACTGCATCCTCACCATGATAACGACATGCTTTTTGAGCAGAATACTGCCGACGTAGTCCTACCTGTACCTACCCACTCGTCCCTGACCCCATCCTAGATCCCAATCCAGTTACTGCGTTTCAAAGCCATGCACGCAGGCAAACCATAACGAAAGCTTCAAGCCCATCCCCCTGAAACATGAAGATCTAAAGGCCTTCGTTTAAACACGGTTTAGGGTTTAAGGTTTAGGCCCCAAACCCTAAACCCTATTAAACCCTAAACCCTAAACCCTAAACCATGAACCCTAAACCCTAAACCCCTAAACCCTATTTAGGGTTAGGATCATCTATCTCTGCAAGAGGGTTACTGTAGAGAGCAAACCGTAAACTGCTCGCGTGGCGTACCGTCCTGAAACCCTGGCAAGGCCGTCCAGAGTTTAGGGTTTAGAGTTTAGGGTTTAGGGTTTAGGGTTTAGGGTTAGGGTTTAGGGTTCAGGGTTGTTTAGGGATTTAGGTTCGCATTGGAGGTTCGGGTACTTAAAGGATCATGGGGCTTAGTAACTGAGGTTATAAACAAGGTAACTATACTTATACCCCCAATTAGGGAACTTATAACCCTACTTACTAAGCCCCACGATCCTCTAAGTAGGCTTGCTTGTATGCATAAGGGTACGACTGTAGTCATCACCAGCTGTTGCAACCCACATGAGGTACCTATATCCCTAGCTCCCATGAACCTCCAAAAAAGGGAGGATGGGCCCCGATCAGATTCCGACTGCAGTAGGATCCTTGGTTAAAAAGGCACAAACCCCCTTCTCAACCGGACTTTCTGTTAGTTCAAGACACAAAACGGTTTAGGGTTTAGGGTTTAGGGTTGCCTTCGTGATTTGGTACAACCACGGGAGCTCGTAGTGGATCTGTCCCCTTCCCAAACCCTGAACCCTAAACCCAAAGGTCCTCAATCCTATCACCCTCAACCTCAACACCTTGTATGCAAAACCTCCTTCTGGTTTAGGGTTTAGGGTTTAGGGTTTAGGGTTTAGCCCTAAACCCCAAACCTCGTTGTCGGAATTCGCTAGTCCCTGCCCTCCTCTGGCGCGCCTTGAACCCACGAATCTTCACAGTGCTGTCAATCCTTCAGCACGTGTCTTCAATCTTAGCGAGGGAAGAGCTCTAGAAGGCTTCTCAAGATGCAGGGGTCTACAGGGGGCTTCGTAAGGGCTAGAAAGTCGTCAACATTTGAGGCTTTAGATACGTATTCTGATTCGGATTATCCTACTTGCAGCATCGTCTTTACCCTAGTTGGAACACCCGGTATCTACGTCCTTCTACCTTGCACAGTCCCGATCCTAATAGTGCTTGGTTGTGATATGGGTCCTAAGCGATGTCGGAACTTAGGAACAGTAAATCATAAATTGAAAGGCTCACTGACAACCATAATGAAGGAAAGCTTCCTACAACCAAACTGCCTGAGAAAAGGATTTGCAAAAGAAATCCCACATGTACTTATAGGACTTAGTAACCAAGGCTATAAGCATTATAGCTTTACTTATAAGTACTTATAACCCCAATTAATGTACTTATAACCTTATTTACTAGGTCTCATGATCCTCCAAGTCAAGACCTTTGCATGATGGATTTGAAAGGGCCGGAGTGATTGGACTGGGCTTCTGAAATGCCCTCGGTATAGCTATAACAATATGCCATAATATAAGGGCCTTACTAAATAGAATAGGGTTTTGGGTGTTCCTTATTATATTTATACTATAAAGGACCCCAAAACCCTATTCCAATCATTAAGGCCCTTGTCTTAACTATGCCAGGGACTTCCTGGGAATGGAGTTAACCCCATCTTCAAGGTCTTATGTTAAAGCGGGGTTTAGGGTTTAGGATTTGGGGTGGCAGGGTGGTTGAAAGTCACGCAAGTAAGAAGTAAAGCGTAGCATTTCGGGTGCGCGGTGCTTTCAAACCAGATCTCTTCGGAGAAGTTTGTGAACATGGCTTTACTCCCCAAGCCCTAGCCCTGAGTCCTTACTCTAGGATTCCGGCTTTAGCGGCTTCGAGGCTTAGGGTTTTGCTTGAGAAGTATGGGATCTGGTAATATAGGGGCCTCAATAATTAGAAGAGGGTTTTGGGGTTTCCTTACTATAATTATAGTATAATATACCCCAAAACCCTATTCTAATTGTTAAGGCCCCCAACATCGTAGAACCCTTATAGTCATCCTTGTAGAGCCCTTTTCAAAAGAACCCTACCCCAAAACTCTATTCTAATTATTGAGGCCCCTGTAGTAGAGGCTCGGAAAGGCAGGCCACGGGTCGCAAAGCCGTTAACTAAGGCATGCTGGGTGTGCAGCTTTCAGCACTGTCAATGTGGCTTGGGGCTGTGTTCAGTGCATTTTTCACACCAGGATTAATGTAGGGGCCTTAATTATTAGAGTAGGGTTTTGGAAGTATGTTGACTGTAGGGGCCTTAAAAGAATGAGAATAGGGTTTTCGGGGTTCCGTATTTTAACTATAGTATAATAGGCCCCAAATCCCTATTCTAAGTACTAAGGGCCCTTATATTAGACCCTTAACCCAACCTCTAAACTCCAGCTAACCCAAGCCCCTCCATGCTAAAGGGCTCCAACCCTAACCGAACCCCCGTCCTTCCCCGGATTTCCAGCACCGGTGGATCCCCAACGAAGCGCGCTGCGTCGCCTTGGGCAGCTGTCGGAAGTCAGCGGCGTCACCCCGGCCCTAACCCCCCAAACCCTAAACCCTATCAACCCTAAACCCGAAATCTAAGCTCTACACGGGTCGGGCCAAGTTTAGGGCTGACAGGACCTTGAATGGAATCCTCAACCCCAAACCGTAGACAGAAAATCCGAAACAGTAACCCCGAGTAATTCCTAGTCCTCTTCCCGGAACTCCAATTCCTGAACCCCCCAACCCCCTGATTCCCCAGGGAATAAAGCCCCAGGGCCACTCAGAAAACCCCTTCGTTGTTCAAAATTCAAAACCCTACACCCTAGAAGCCCTAAACCCTACACCCTAAACCCCAAACACCGAAATACCCAAGTCTCCGCGGAGATAGGGATTCTTAGGGTGGCTCCACGCAGACCAACCTTAGCTGCAAAGCCCCCCCGAAGGGTCGGGGTCTTCGTGTGGTAGGATCAGGGCTTCGGGGGCTTTGGGTTTAGGCTTTAAGGCTCAGGGTTCAGCGCTGAGGGTTAAGGGCTTCAGGGTTTAATGTAAGACATTAGGGTTTAGGGTCGTAGGGTTTGAGGGTTTGAGGTTTAGGGTGTCTACTTCCAGGGTCGCGGGACTGAGTACGCCGGCAATAACTGACTAAAGCTTTGAGTAGCCTACAGCATCCTAAGTTGGTCCGATACTTATCTTTGTAAATTTGTAAACAACTACTTACGAACTGCCACTCAGCCCCGAAACACGGTAGTGTCCCCTGGGCCGAGGAAAAATACATCGATTACAGACCTAACCTAACCCCTGAGCCCTGAAGCCCAACCCTCAACTCGCTAAACCCAGACTCTATGCTCACAGCCCAAACCCTAAACCCTAAACCCTAAAACCTAAAACCTAAACCCTAAACCCTAGAACCCTGAACCCTAAACCCTAAACCCTAAACCCTAAACCCCAGAACCTAGAACCTTGAACCCTAAACCCTAAAACCCTAAAACCCTAAAACCCTAGAACCCTAGAACCCTAAACCCTAAAACCCTAAAACCCTAAAACCCTAAAACCCTAGAACCCTGAGCCCTAAACCCTAAAACCCTAAAACGCTAAACCCTAAACCTCAGCTCCTCTCTCTCGTGGCCCGGCCTGTCTTGTACCATCTCCACTTGCCTTGGCTTAGGGCCACCTTGCAAGGCAGACGTTGGTTCTTTGGGCTTTGGGTTTTTAGGCCTCTTAGGCTTAGAGTTTAGGGCTTAGGGCTAGGAGGTTCTTTGGGTTTTGGGTTTAGGCCTTTTTTTAAATGCAGTGGCCCTTGGTAGAAAGGCGAATGGTTTGGGGTGTAAGGTTTGGGGTTAATGGCTTAGAGTTTAGGGTTTAGGGCTAGGAGTTTAGGGTCCAGGGTTTAGGGGGGGTAAGGTTCGCGGTCTCGTTGGTTTCGGGTTTGGAGCCAAGGATTTCCTTAGTTCATTTAAGGCTTCCTTTAAGGGTTCTTGATAAGGGGGTTCTGCAAAAAGTGACCCCCATAAAGGTGGAAACCGGATTAACGACCGATAGTGCTGAGATTCCCTATACACTTCCCTAAACCCTAAACCCTAAACCGTACTGTTTTTATGGATTGAGGCTATTGGGTTTCCAACTTTTGGGCTTCTACTCTGAGGGCTCTATACGGCTTCAAATGTTCTTGAAGGCTTAGGGCCGACTTTGAGGGTTCTAGGGCTTGTGAAGTTGAAGCAATTGAGTCTGGGGCGACAGGGGTTTAGGGCTTTTGGTTAAGGGTTTCGAGGTTTAGGGACTAGGGGTTTAGGGTTTGGGGTTGTTTAGGGATTTAGGTTTGGGGTCTAGGGTTAAGCGTTTCGGGGTGTAGGGTTTCGGGGTTTAGGGGTTTAGAGTTTAGGGTTTAGGGTTTCGGGGGTGGGTTGCAAGTTCAGAAGATGGCCAGTCTTGAGCAGTTGTGAACATGCCCCGACCCCACAACTCCAAAAACCCTCAACCCGGAAGCGCAATGCCCTTTATAAACCCTAAACCCTTTAACCCTAAACCCTAAACCCTAAACCCTAAACCCCTAAACAATGCCCTTTTAAATCTTCTCAAGCCTGGACTGGAAACGGTACTTGGTGGCTGAACTTGGCTTTCCCAGTTTTAGCGGCTCTCGGGTTGGAGGCTCTTCCCTTGGTGGTTTAGGGTTGAGGGCTGAGGGTTGAGGGTTTAGGGTTTAGGGTTTAGCGGTTTCGGGGTTTAGGGGTTAGGGTTGAGGGTTTAGGGAGTAGGGTTCAGCGGTTTAGGGGTTTAGCGGTTAGGGTTGAGAGTTTAGGGATTAGGGTTTAGGGTTTAGGGTTTAGGGTTTCGGGTTTAGGGATTAGGGTTCAGCGGTTTAGGGGTTTAGCGGTT